TGCGACGCGGGAAATCCTTCGGATTGTAGGCGCAATAACATCGTTTGACGCGCAGGCAGCAGCTGCGCATGCTGCGACGCTTGTGAGGGATGGCATGGAAAAGGAGGTGGATTTGGATCGTTTACGCGCGCAGATGGACTACGTGCAAATGGCTTTGGAACTTGCGGCTAACATTTTCACAGATGAAGGCGCATCCGACGACACCGCTGCAGACGCCAAAGATGCGGCTGCAGTTGAGGAAGAGAACCTGAGCCATGATGAGAATTCAAAACACGACGGGATGGACGACGACAGCGGCTCCGGTGGCGAGAGCGATGGGAACGAAGGCTTTGACCATGATGACATGGAAGACGTGCTGGAACGCGAGAAGACCTCCGATCAGGGCACAGAAAACGCCGTGCAGCAGTCGGTTCTCGGAATGTTTATCGAGTCAATTGTTCCCGCACTTCTGCGCCTGGCTGAGCCAACGCGCATGTCGCTTCTGCCAGCTGCAATTGCCGAGTGCGCTGCTGAGGCGGATAGCGCGGCGGCTGATCTGGCAGAGACAGCCGTAGAAGGCTTTGTGGCTCTTCACGAGCGCGCTCTGGGTTGCTTTAACAACTTTCTACTGGTCATGGAGGAGACCCTGAAGCCCTGGTTTTATCAGCATAGCCATTGCGTCGAAACCTGGTGGCGTTTTCTTATTAGCGTTGCAGAACACATTCTCGGTGTAGAAGATGCCACCGGCAAGCGCTCAGACGCCGATCGGAGTCTGCGGTGGGCGGTTCTGGAACCCGCCGTCAGTTGCATGTGGACCCTTGCACGCTGTGTTGACGGCGCAGTTCCAGCGAGCATGGAGCAGATTGAGGGGATAATACGCCTGTGCGAGTCTGCTCCGTCTACTGATGTCCGAGTCAAGACCGCTGGCGTGCTGGGTAACATTGCGCGCCGCCAGCCGGGCTTTGTAGACGAAAACAGACGTGCTGGTGTGTACTTGCTAGAGCAGGTCGTCGCTCGCCCGCTTGGAGCCTTAGCGCAGTCAGACGCTGGTCTGGCGGATGGCATCGACCCTGAGCCAATACTTGAGGCGCTGGACCTGCTGTTTGATGTTTATGGCGACATGGCCTATGATTATGATGAGCCTGTGTTTGTGCGTGGCGGGCTTTTAAGTCAACTGCGGCAGCTGTACCAGCCCATGCGACGGCTGTGCAAGAGCGTCGACCGCCGCAAGAAGCGCCGATTACGCGATCGCTGTGACCTGGCAACTATAAATCTCCGCGCTTTTATTGATTACAAGGCATCTGAGCGGTAGTCTCTTTATATATGAGCTGTTTTTCGTGTTTATTTAGCTTTTTGTCTATCCGATCATGGACAACGCTTGGTAAAGTGGGCAAGCATGCGATGCTCGACACATATTTACCAACTTTGCGTACGTTTGGCTGGTGTGTATAAAAAGTAGAATGACCAAGTGACATTGCCGAGCATATAGCTTTGTTCCATTTTCTTCCACAAAAGTTGCGGCTTCAAATATAAAATACTAAAAATATAATAACATTTCGCAGAATAGTGGTTATCAATATCTATTTTATTGAAAAGTCTGTCTACTACAAAATTATAAATACAATTGCTCCTCAAAAAGCCGCACGCACAGGCTCGAGCCGGTACTTAAGATCCTTTCCGACCTTGGTTTCGGGAGCCCACTTGTCAAAGAGAGCCACCAGGTGTTTGAGTTCAGCGCGCAGGTCTTGGTTGTTCTGAATGGCCGGCTCGTCCCACAAAGTGCGCATAATCCATGGAATAAAAAACGGATTAAGCTGCTCCGTTGCGTTGAATGGCCGATACGACATGTGGACCCGCGGCCCACTAGCACATTGTCCAGCCCCTGAGTGCTGCCTTGTAGCACCGGGTACCGACTCGGCAGGAAAAGGCGCGCACGATGCAGGCAATGTCGAGTATAGCAGCCATTTTATAGCCAGACGGTAGACGGCTGGCTCTCCGTACACAGTCGAGTGGCCCCAGTGGCCCCACAGCGACCCAGCAACAACCTCGCTGAGGTGGATCAGCAGGCCGTGGTCGTGGATACCCATGTTGCGCAGGCGCAGCGCAAATGCAATCAGATTGGTCAGAAAGTCGTCCAGGTAGTGAGGCGCATCAATATACACGGCGCGATACACGTTGGGATGCGAAACGCCCTGCAGAATAGCCGAGTACAGTGGCACGACCTCATCCACCCACGATCCAATGCATACAAGCCGCACGCCGCTATGTAGAATGGTGCTAAGCGCCGCCACGTAGCGCTGGCTCTGATACGAGCTTGGGTCCATCAGCTCAAACAGCTCGCGCGCGGTACCTGACTCGATGTACTTCACCACTACATTATCTTTCAGGTACGCCATAGGCCCGTGGCTGATCCCAGCCATCGCCAGCATCGCCACACGTTGTCGGGCTGTGTCCACCAATCCCATCTCCAGGAGCCGCTCAACAACCATCGCCGCCACAGGAGTCCCCTGCGAATGGGTCACAATAAAAACTGTGTCCGCCGCCTGTAACACCTCCGCGCGTCTGCAGCGCGGAGGCATCAACGCCTCTGCTTCCAGCACCGACTGCTCGCCAGACGGATCCGTGCTCTCCGTGGCAGCTGCCTTTGGGCTAACCTCGCCGGGCTCCGTAATCTGTGACAGCAGCAGCTCCACGCGATCCTCAATCCGCCCTTCGCCAATCAACGGAAACAGACTGATATTGTCGTTTGAAATTTCTACCCCGTGGTTCTCGCGCAGGTGCGTCTTAAGCGCATCGCGCATCATTGCACAGAACTTCTCTGAAGTTCCCGTCGGCTCACCCGCCAGCATCTGCAGCATGCGCATTGGAAACCATCCGTGAATTCCAATCACCGCAATTTTGCCCAGCCTTCGCGCACCAGCATCCATCAAGTCTTTGGCCTGGTTTGCTGCAGCCATAGCGCCGTCTCTGCACTCAGGCTTCCCTGACTGCCCAAGAGCATCCGCCCCCGGTGCATGTCCCCAGAGCACCGCCCGCGCCCAACCCGGTGCCATCTCCAGTGCTGAATCCACAACTGTTTGGCCAAGCGTGCGCAGCCGCTTGCGTAGTGGAAGCATGTCCTCCGTATTGTCATCTTCTAGCCTGTGTGTTCCATTAGCTGTTCTCCGCACAGTGCTTTCTGTCTCCTCAGTTGGCTTACTCCCCGTCGCCCGGTCCACCGGAAAGCCGTCGCTGCCAACCTCGAAATCAGGGACCAACATGTTGCGTTGCTGCTGCCGGTTGTGTCCGCGCATGTTAGCCTCGATGCTGCTATGTGGAGGCGCAAGTCCCCTGGCTGTGTTACCAGAGTCTGCCGTTACAGGCCTGCTGCCTTGACTGTAGGTTCCTGACCACCAGCTCAGCCATTGTGTGCTGCGTTTTTCTGGGTCTATTGCCACAGTGCTACCGGTGGTGTCAAGCGAGCTTGTGACCATGTCCTGCTCGTTTGGGATATGGTTATCCTCTGTAATGTGGTTATCGTTCCGCGTAGCGCCCTCCTTCAGTTTATGGTTATTAACTGGGCAAGGGCCATCCGCATCTTCGTCCTGCTCTGCCAATACGACGTTGTTGTGGCGTTGCGTCTTCAGTTTCCCTGCGTCCTGCTCTGTTGGCGTGCTTTGGTTTGTGTGCTTGGGTATTGGGACGCTCTCAGCCATGCCCAATGAAGTAGGCACGTGCGATGCGGGCTGTTTATCCTCAATTGCCTTCAGGTGATCAACTGCGGACTTGTGTGAGCCTAGTATGCTCTGACTGGTGTTGGCTGAGCCCCGCAGTGTAAGCCGTGAAAGCGTCGTCCACAGAGACGGGCTGTGACTACGCTCCTCAGCGCTCCCACTCTTGCCACTGTGAGGATTCGTTGCAGGCCCTACTACGCCCTTGGACGCCGAAGCTGTCTCAACAGCCGCCTGCGTCTTGGCACTGTATCGTCGATGTTTCATCAGTGAGCTGTATCGGGATGTTGTCGAGTTCTGCGGCTGTGATGCATCAGCGCTAAACTCTGCATTCTGGCTTTCCCCACTAACACTACTTCGCTTGCTTTCTGTGTGAGAGTTGCGCGACTCTACTGTGGAATATTCGGTGTCTGTGTTGCTTCCTGAATCTGCTTTAGCTGAAAGTAGAGGCTTCATCAAATCCAAAGCCTGTCTGCGCTTTGATAATGGTGATGCTGGTGGTGACATGCTAACAGAGCTCCTGGGTTGGGACTTTTGCGGCTGCGCATGAATACGCCCGCGCGCCTCTACTCGCCGAGATGCATCTGTCACCGTGCTTGCTAGTTTGGGATAACTTGGTGTGGTTTCTGTGCCCGACCGAACGGACCATGTTGTCTGTCGAGAGCTAGGTGATAATGGTGGTATTTGAGACGACCAGCTCCGTGGTCTGCCGTTCTGCTCAAACTCAAACGGCGATATGAGCTCGGGTGACGATGACGTCTGCGGGTCGCCAACCAGTGCGCCCAGCCCAACTCGTTTCTCGCGGTCCGTTGTGCCGCCTCTCATTTGCAGCAAACGCAGAATTGAATGTGTAAAGAAGGTAAAGAGTAGAAAAGCGTTGCACAGACAAAAGGGAAAGAGGGAAGGAGACGACGCTGAATATGAAAGGGTAATTTTCTAGGACCTCTTTTCGAGGTTTAGGCAGTGACACATGGCTTTATAAGGAAGGTATTGGATATGCTGAGCAAGTAGCTACTAGTGATAGAATACCAGCAAAAGCAATATTTTCCAGCTTTTACCAAGCAAGATACGCATACTTTAAATGTCACTGCGCTACTAATGGCATATACACAATGCTCTGAAGGGTTGGCAAACAATGTTACAAACTTTACAAGAGAGCACTTTAGGACTCCTCAGCCAGCCTCCAACCAAGGCTGAAGAAAAACAAATGCAGCCACACATCGCTGCAACGCTCTAAATGTGTCTATAACTGAAGAGGCTACAACAAAAAAATAAAAGTATTGATGTCTAGCGAAAGCAAATAGCAAAAAATGCTCTATGCCAGGATCGAACTGGCGACATCCGCGTGACTCTATCATAATGGGAACACCACTATAAGCACGGCGCTCTAACCAGCTGAGCTAATAGAGCGGAGGGCGCGGTAAGCTATTACCGCCAATTTGGAATAGTTAATGTGTTTAAATTATTTAAATGTGCGACTTTTATTTTGACATTTAAAATCTGTTTAACGCATTTAATAGTTTTTGTATATTCGATCATGGACAACGCTAGGTAAAATAAGTAAATAAGTCATGTTTGACAAACATCAGCCACTTTGAAGTTATATGATAGGTTTATATAAAATGTAGAATTTGGTCAGGCAACATTGCCTAGGATATAGAACTGTTTGGATATAATGGATCTGTTTTGAGGGTTAAAGCACTCCCAAGACACAAAAGTCATCTAGAAAATGGTGATTTGCTATGGTTTCCTCTGCTATAAACGATAAGTGTTTTGAGCCAAAGGTGCAACAGTACCTTGTTCCTGTTTCTTCTACTGATCCCCTCCATGATTCGTATCCCAATCTGAGGCATTGGAATCGTAATAGTACTATTGTTTTAAACTTTCGGCATATCCTTTTCAGCTTGCGTAAGGGGAAGGGAATTTCTGAGCGTTTTCCGCGTGAAAATACTGCGACTTTTGCTGATCAGCCGCAGAAAGAGCACCAAACAGCCCAAAACAGAGACATCACAACAACAACATCAGGAGTAGTCACCATTACTCTAAACCAAGATCAAGACTGCTTTACATATAGTTTGTTAGGTTTTCTTGAGGGTTTGTTTACAAAAAAAAAATGACAGCCAAAATTTTTGACAAATAGCAAAGCGGAGATACTAGGCAGAATTGAAGCAAGCGCTAAGCAGGCAGAAGCATGGGCGCAGGTACAGACATGCTGGGAGAATGGGAATTGATTTTATAGCGCGGAACATGGAAAAGTACACGAGGGCTAAATGTGAGCCAGGGCGTCAATGAGAATGTCGTTCTCCAGACGCAAGCGACGCGTCTTAGCGCGGTAGCGCGCAAGGCTCTTCTCGCGCGCAGCAACCTGATTGCGGATGTAAGCCAACTGCGCCTCAAGGCGGACGGCGTCGGAACCAGAGTCAGTCACGTCAGCGGCAAAGGCGGAGCGGCAGACATGGCCGTCAGTGGGGGCGTCCTCGCGGTGGGACAAATACATGCTGGTGTCGCTGTCGGTGGCGAAGACCTCGGGAGAGTGGCGCGCCTTGCGCTTTCCCGATCGGGTAGAGCCAGCGTCAAAATCGGGCGGCAGGACGTCAGCGGCAGGGCGCGGACGAGCACGGCCATTGGGCGGGGCGGCGGCAGAGTGCGAGCTTATGTGTCTGGCCAAAAAGTCGGAGCGCTTGTAAACCTTGCCGCATCCGTCAACAGGGCACAGGTAAGAGCGGTTTCCGGTATGCATTCTCAAATGGTCGACCAGGCCCTGAAAGGTGGGCATGGGGATTGCGCGTTGCGGGCAATCGCGCCATGCGCAGGCAAGCCCGGTCTCGGCATCGAGGCCTACCACATGGGTTGCAGAGATGTGAGCAGAAAGCTGGTGCATTGAGGCGAACTCCGCCGAGCAGCTGCCCCAGGCGCAGTGCGGGCCAGCAGAAGCGCCAGACGGAGGCGGAGGCAATCCGGCTGTGCCCCGGGGCTCAGGGGAGCCAGCATTGGACGACGGCATAGCTGGAGGAAGGGCAAGGAGCAGAGGTAGATGCAGACAACGAGCCCGGCAGGAAAGCGCACGGCGGAGAAGGGAGGGCTGGTGGGGCGACAGAGCTTGGGGGGACGCGCACGCCTATGGGACGGAATGGGGAGTGCGAAAGCCACACGAGGCGAAATTGCAGACCAGCTGGAACGGCATTGTTCCGCGCAGACTGCGAGAGCAATTAGACCAAAACGGAGGGGGATGGAAGCGTTGGGCCGCCACAACAATCGGCGACGCAGAGTGCGCTTTAACCGAGAAAAGCACAAACAATTGGCGGGTGGCTTTGCACGCAGCGCACAACAGCGGCGAGGCCCTCGCCAGCAGCAGCCCGGGGGCCTTTGGGCAGGCGGGTGCGTATAGCGCAGGCTGCGCGGGCATAGTGCGTCAAGCGCACTTGGCCAATGGCAGCGCTCGGCTGCGGCCAAACCCTCTCTGAGCTGTTGGAGGCAAAGCCTTTTTTAGTGTGCGCGTGCATAAGACGAATTGTGCAGCAGCATCGGGTTATGACAATCCAGGAGCACAGCCCTTGATTCTCGCTGCTATTTTGGATGCTCGCGGCGTCGACCAGCGGGCCTTATATAACGCGCCTGCGCCTGCAGCTCCTCGGCGCGCCGGATTTCTGCAACTCCACCCTTCTTTTCTTGCTCTAAGCTTGCGAGTAGACTATGCGCAACGCTCACTGAATTTTCCTCCACTAACTCTGCAACGCCCCCTCCCTCTTACGACCGCGGTTCAACGCCTATTACTGCAAACAGCCCCACACCCCACGCACAAGCTCGTGGTCCCTCACGCCCCCTTAGGTACACACGCGCATACTCGTGCCCTTCATCACGCCCCTTGGGAATACATATCCTCCAGGAACTCACTCACTCGCCAGCCCATGGACATCAGGGAAATCACCGACTCGTCACTGCTCAGCGACAAGCAGCGCACGCACCACTGCACTTGGATTGAGTGCTGCAAGAGCTTCACGCGGAAGTCGGACCTAAAGCGCCACTACCGCATCCACACTAACGAGAAGCCCTACGGCTGCACCTACGCGGGCTGTCAGAAGCGTTTCGTGCAAAAGTCGGCGCTAACGGTGCACTTGCGCACGCACTCGGGCGAAAAGCCGCACCAGTGCAAGGAGCCCAACTGTGGCAAGCGCTTCAGCGACTCGTCCTCTCTGGCACGCCACCGTCACACGCACAGCGGCAAACGCACCTACTTGTGCGCGTTTGGTGGCTGTAACAAGCAGTTTTACACCAAGAGCGCCTACAATAGCCACCACCGCGACCACATGGACTCGATAAAGCACACCGCTCCAGGCTTGTGCCCGCCGACCCCGCCGCTGACGCACGTTATGCCGCGCAGTCTTTCCTCGGACGCCGACGCCATGCCGGTCATGGCCCGCGCTAGCCGCTCAGCCACTTTGTCTTCTGAGTCCGACGCCAGCTGCTACAGCCCCCTCACTCCACCGCTGGACCGCGGCGGCGCGCTGCCTCCTGGTGTGCTGCCGCCGCTGCACGAGTATCTGGGTGTGCTGTCCAAGGCCGCCTGCGCCCAGACGCCACTGCCGTTGCCCGCTCTGCACCGCCCGTCTCAGCCGCGCCAGCTGCATGACCGGAGCACCCTAGCCTGGTCGCAGCCTTCAGCCCGCTTTGCGCCCTACTAAATCTCTCTTCAAAACATCTCCGCCTATGCCCTCGCCTTCCGTGGCCCCGGTGGTCCCGGTAGGCGCTGCATCCGATGGCCTTTGCCATCACATCAACTGTTTATAATTTTTTAACTTCCAGATCATGTCTTCAATCAAGCCTCTATGCACTCATGCACACATGCGCCCATACGCACTCTTCTGCTTTAGCCCGCAAGGCTCCCTGTCACCAGAGCTGCCTGCATGACCGATCTACGCCCGCACAGACTGTCACTGCTGCTGCCGCTCGCCTGCAGCCTGCATTCTGCATCCTGCACAAACACACACAGCGCCTGCCGCATCGCATGTGTATGTGCAACCTTTTCCGCACCAAGCAATAGCCATGGCATCTGCCATCTCTGTGCTTTGATTATCGCCTGCCGCTCCAGCGCGATTTTCCTGTAAAAGCACCGTCTAGCCTCGCAAACACAAACATGGCGCTTGCGCAATCTCCGCATCCACGCATTGGCTTCCCCTCGAGCGCTCATGAGAGCGGCACTTATGCTAGTGGAAAGCCCATATAAAAGTCCGGTTCCCACCCAAGCTTCATTAACTCTTATTCTCCATTTTTGCCCTCCAGGTTATATGCACCTTTAAAACACCTTAAATACACCTTAAACATGGCCGAGAGACAACCGCAGCAGCAGGACCCGCAGCCTTCAAATTTTCGTTTCGAAACCCTTGCACTCCACGCCGGCCATCAGCCTGACACTGCTACGAATGCCCGCGCCGTGCCTATCTATCAAACATCCAGCTTTGTGTTCAACGATGCCACGCATGGTGCCAACCTGTTCGCGCTAAAAGAGCTTGGCAACATATACTCCCGCATTGGGAATCCGACAACCGATGTCTTTGAGCAGCGTATTGCGGCACTCGAAGGTGGGGTTGGCGCCCTGGCCACATCCTCAGGCCAGGCCGCCCAGTTTGTTGTTGCTGCCACTTTGTGTGAACCAGGGTCCAACATTGTCAGCACCTCCTTTTTGTATGGCGGTACCTACAACCAGTTCAAGATAGCTTTCCCTCGCCTAGGCATTGATGTTAAGTTTGCTCATGGTGACGACCCAGCAAATATTGGATCTCTTATTGACGACAAGACCCGTGCCGTGTACATTGAAAGCATTGGCAACCCCAAGTACAATGTGCCGGATATCCGCGCCATCGCCGACGTTGCGCACAGCCACGGCGTACCGCTGGTTGTAGATAACACCTTTGGTATGGGAGGATACCTTGTCCGCCCCATTGAGCACGGCGCTGACATTGTCACCCATTCGGCCACAAAGTGGATTAATGGCCATGGCACTGCTCTCGGAGGCGTGGTAGTCGATGCTGGCTCATTCCCCTGGAATAATGGCCGTTTTCCTGGTTTCACCGAGCCCTCCGATGGCTATCATGGTCTCAAGTTCTGGGAGACCTTTGGCCCCGATAGCTCATTTGGCGCAAACCTAGCGTTCCTATTCCGCGCCCGCGTTGAAGTTATGCGCGACCTCGGCCCCTGCACAACTCCCTTTTCGTCATGGCTCTTTGTCCAGGGCCTAGAGACCCTACCGCTGCGGGCAGAGCGCCACAACTCTAATACTCTTGAGTTGGCACGGTGGCTAAGCCAGCACCCGGCCGTCACTTGGGTTGCGTATCCTGGCTTGGAAGACCACCCATACCATGAACGTGCCAAGAAATATCTGACTCGTGGCTTTGGTGGTGTCCTGAGTTTTG